TATATTAAAGGAGAAATATAAACCCAAACTCATTTTTATTAAGTGTGGGGAAGAGGTTGGGACAAGGAAAAGGCCACCTAACAGGAAAGATAAGGCCTCTTTTGCTTTCTGCTTATCAGTTGTTGTTGAGGGACTGACATCAGAATAATTCCAAGCTGGTTTCTTTTGTCCTGGAAACTAGAGAACAGACTAGCAGTGATGTGCAAAGAGAAGGTGACTCATAGATAAATATGTAAATCTCTACAACCTATTCTAGTAGTGTGTGCATCTGTTGTGATAATTTAATGAACTTTTTATTCCTGTTGGAAAAAGTGACATCTCATTTATACAGAGAGACATTTACATTGTCATCAGCAACAGGAAGGATTGCTCACTGGAGCCAGATGATACGACAAGATGCTTTTTATTTGTTTCTTTGTTTTCCAGTAGCTTTCAATATCGCTATCTTTAGGTTCTTCCCTTTAATCCATTAATTGCTACTACCTCCAATGGTGATATTGAATAGTTAATGGCCTATTCGGTACCTGTGCTGTCCAACCTGGAACAGAGTCCTGGAGCCGCTCTCTGTGGCGGGCTCCATCTCTGGCTGCTAGGGGAACACTTGAAAAGTGGTGTGTTTGGGGGACTGGGGCTCAGGAAGATCAGTTCTTTACCAGCGGGGGTACAAGAGTATTTCAGTATTTTCACAATTGGTGTGGAGGTACAGTTAGATTGACTGCACATTTGCCCTAAAACCTGTTTTAGAGGATTTTTGCTACTTCCCATGAGGTATTTTTAAGCATTATCAAAATAATTTTAATTATTTTCTGCAATGATACTATTAAAATGTTCCTAATTCATAAAATGTTGTAAGGGTATGTGTGATTTCTTTGATGCTTACAGCTCAGGGAATAGCACTATATGATTATCATTAGGTTCATATTCAAAATGGGAATCATTCACTCATTCATTCTGTGAACAAATACTTTTTGAGCACCTGCTGTGCTGCTCCAGGAATGCAGCAGAAAACAAAAGAGATAAAGTCTCTGTCTTCATGGAGTGTGTATTCTGGTAGAGGAGACAGATCACAAATGACTAGATAATGTCAGGGGGTAAGTAACATAAAGAAAAGTAAGTAAGGCAAGGGAGATAAAGGAACGGGCCTGAGGAGGTGAGCAGCCATTTTATATATCATGGTCAGAGAAGACCCCATCTGCAAGGCAAGACCGCATTCAACATTCGAGCCAACATCTGAAAGAAGTAGCCTCAGTGCCTGGGGTAAAAGTGTTCTTGGTAAAAAGGACAGAGGACAGCAAGTGCCAAGGCCCTGAGGCTGAATTGATGTAAGGGAACAGCAGGGAAGCTACTATGGCTGTAGCTGGGGGGAGGGTGGGCAAGTAGAAGGAAATGAGGCCAGGTAAGGGAGAGGGGAGTGGAGGACAGGCAGAGCATGTCAGGCTTACTGGTCATGGTTAAGAATTGTCAGCTTTATTCTAAGAGAAATAGGAAGTCGTTGGGAGTCATTTTGAGCAGAGGGGTGATTATGTGACTTCTTTTTTAAAAGATTACTTTAACTGCTGTGCAGAAAATAGAGTGAGGCAAAGGCAGGGAGATCAGTTGGGAAGCTGCTATAATAATCGAACCAAGACAGAATCATGGCTTTGACCAGAGCTGTGGCAGTGGAGGTGGTGACAAGAGATCATATCTTGGGTATATTTTAAAGGTAGAGCCAATGAAATTTGCTAATGCATTAGAAGTGTTACATGAGAGAAAGAGAAGAGTCAGGATGACTTCACGTGTACAGAAAACGGATGAAATATTTCCTGACTCTCCACACAGAACCAGTCTTGCCTCTATATTTCTATTTATCACATTGTATTGAAATGACTTGTTTATATGTCTGCTTCCTTTCTAGACTCTGAGCTTCTCAAGGGAACAACATGGATATTGTTGATGAATGATGAAGTTTTTATTATCCCTGGAGGTGGGGGAGAAACTAAGGAACAGAGAGTAACATCCACTGTAGGGAAGTTAGGAAGGCAGTCATATGGAGAGCACCAGCGGGGCAGCCTGGTAGGCTTGGGTTTGAATCGTGGCTCTATCACTTGAAGTTTTGAGACTTCGGGCAAGTTACATTAACCTTCTTCAGCCTTAGATTCTGTAAAATGGGAATGATAGTAATAAGTATATCCATCTCATAAGGTGGTTGTGGGCGAAAAAAAAGAAACCCTGTACTTATTAACAATCACTTATTTTCCCCTGCCCAGCCCCTGGCAATCACAAATCTATTTACTATCTCTATAGATTTGTCTATTCTGAGTATTTCATATAAATGGAATCATACAATATGTGACCTTTTATGACTGGCTTATTTTATTTAGCATAATGCTTTTAAGGCTTATCCATGCTGTAGCATGTTTCAGTATTTCATTTTATTATGGCTGAGTGATAATTCCATTATTATGGATATACCACATTATTATGGATATACCATGTTTATCTGTTTATTTGTTGATGGACATTTTTGAATTTAGAGTCATTTTCGCCTGTTGGCTAGTGTGAATAATGCTGCTGTGAACACCAGTGTACAAATTTTTGTTTGGACATATTTTTTGAATTTTATTGAGCTTATATAGTTGTCTCTTGGTATACATGGATACCAAAAGCCTGTTATGTAAAATGGTAGTATTTGCATATAAACTAATTACATTATTATAATACCTAATACAATGTAAATACTATGTAAATAGCTCTTTTACTTTATTGTTTAGGGAATATGGACAAGAAAAAAAGTGTGTACATGTTGAGTACAGATGCAACCATTGTAGGCTTAACTACATAGTACATGTCAGCAACAAAGTAAATTTTTTTTCTGAATATATTTTTGAATCATGGTTAGTTTAATTCATGGATGCTGAACCTGGATACATGGGGTTGACTGTACTTAACGGTTGAAATTCTTGGGCTATATGGTAACTCTATGTTCGACATTTTGAGGAGCTGTAGTTTTTCAAAGTAGCTACACTGTTTTAGTTTACCCTCTAATGTATGAGGCTTCCAGTTTCTGCACAGCCTCATTAACACTTGTATTTATCTTTTTATTTTAGCCTTTCTAGTGGGTGTAAAGCGGTATCTCACTGTAGTTTTGACTTGTATTTCCCCATTGACTAGTGATGTTGAGCATCTTCTCATGTGCTTATAGGCCATTTCTATATCTTCTTTGGAGAAGTGCCTATTCAAATTATTTTCCAATTTTAAAGTTAGATTAATATCCTTCTCATTGAGTTGTAAGAGTTCTTTATAAATTTTAGACACAAATCCCTCATCAGATTTATGATTTGTAAATATTTTCTCCCATTCCATAGCTTGTCTTTTCACTTTATTAAAATGTTCTTTGAAGCAAAAATTTTCAATTTTGATGAAGTATAGTTTTCTATTTTTTTCTTTTATTGCTTATGCTTGTGCTTTTGGTGTCATATTTAAGGAGTCATTGCCTAATTCAAGGTCACAAAGATTTATTCTGATATTTGTTTCTCAGGGTTTTATAGTTTTAGCTTTGCATTTAGATCTGTGATCCATTTTGAGTTAATATTTGCATATGGTGTGAGGTAGGGATCCAACTTCATTCTTTTATATGTGGATATTAGTTGTCCCAGTGCCATTTGTTGAAAAGTCAATTTTCCCCCCAATCAAATTGTCTTGGTAATCTTGTAGAAATCCAGTTGACTGTAAATGTGAAGGTTAACTTCTGGACTCTTAATATTTCATTTAGTTATGTTTATCCTTAATGCCAGTAGCACACTGTTTTCATTACTGGAGCTTTGTAGAAAGTTTTAAATTGGGAAGTGTGAGTTATTCCAACTTTGTTCTTATCTTTCAAGATTGTTTTGATTATTTTTGGTCCCTTGCATTTGAATATGGATTGTAGGATCAGCTTCTCAATTTCTGCAAAAAAGGTTGGGATATTGATAGAGATTTTGTTGAATTTGTAGATCAGTTTGGGGAATATTATTGTTTTTGCAGTATTAGGTCTTCTGATCGATGAACATGGATGTCTCTTCATTTATTTAGAGATATAATTTCTTTCAACAGTGTTCTATAGTTTTCTGTGTATAAGTCTTGTACTTCTTTTTTAGCATTTTTCCTAAGTATTTTATTCTTTTTGATGCTACTGTAAATGGAATTGTTTTCTTAATTTCATTTTCAGATTGCTCATTGTTAATGTATAGAAACAATTGATCTTCTATTCTGCTCTATAGGAAGTTTAACTTCACTGAGAAGCAGAAGTAACATTGGAAGTGTTTCCAACAGGACCATGAAAGATTTCTATTGTATGCCATCTGGTCGAATTGATCAGTAACAAAGCTACTAATTATCAACCATCTACCATGTTATTTCCTGTGTTTAAAACCTCCCAATAGCTCCCCATTGCTCTTACAACAAAAAACAGACCAGAATCCTTAGCATGACCTTTAAGGTCCTGGATACTGGTCCTTGTCTACTCTACAGCCCCATCCCTCCTTGTTCTCCTGGCCCTATGTCTGCCAGCCACACTGACATTCACTACTTCCTCTAAATTACCATGCCTTAGGTATTTTTATTTATAATGTTCCTCTAGCTTGATCACTATCCTCCCTGACAACTACTACTAGAAAAGGTAGTTTTCTCCCTAGTAAACAAAATTGTAATTTTTCCAATGTTTAGAAACATCTGTCCCACTGAATAGATCACATCTATTGCTCGCACCTGTGTCATCAGCACCTGGCACAGCACCTGGCATATTACTGGAGCTCAGTAAAGCGACTGGATAAACTGTGAGCCAGACACTTTACATACACAGTCTCACTTGTCCTTATGATACACTTTACCAGTGAGGAAACTCAGTCTGAGGAGGTGAACTGGCCCAAGGTCACGCAGCTAGTAAGTAGAGAGGCCTATTCTAGTGAGATCAGTATGATTGTTTGGGAGTTTAAAATAACTCCTCCAGCGGAGACGTGCTCATCTCTTGATTTGTTTCTCAGTGGAGACTTTTCAGAAACTGCAGAAGGCAAAGGAGATTCTGACTAATGAAGAGAGTCGAGCCCGCTATGACCACTGGCGAAGGAGCCAGATGTCGATGCCATTCCAGCAGTGGGAAGCTTTGAGTGACTCGGTGAAAACGGTAGGTTTCTCTCTGGGATGAAGTGAATTTATGAAGCTCAGGCTGCCCATGAGTAGCTTAAAGAGTCAACAGGGAATAGGAGGGAGAAGGCCAAGGAGATGGTAGAATCTGGATAGAACTCAGTCATTGTCCTCAAAATCCTGTGAAGGGAAATTCAGTGGATCAGTGCCAGAAGGGCCTATCACTATGTCTGTGAGTCTCTTTGGCTGTTTGATTCATTGTAACATTCCCCATTATCACTTACTGTTTTATACATTCTGATTACTGTGTTTCTCAAGTTGCTCATATAATAATGCTGAAATTTGAACAATTGCAAAATTGATCCCCTTCATCTTTTTACTTCATACCAGTCTGTTCTCTTCTTAAGGCTTATAAACGCCATTGAAAATCATGGTCTGATTAATCAAAGAAAGCTACAAATTATTTATAAATTATTTTTGTTAGAAATTCTGATGAAATAATTATTGGGTAGATGCAGAGGGACCTTAAACCATTGTGTTATTTCTTCATGCCATTAAGAAAATCCTAAATATCAAAATAATCTATATTTACTATCATATGTTTATTTTGTTTTTACATTGACTTTTATATATTATAGAGAAAATATAGGGATACTTTTCTATAACATGAGACTGAGAATTCAGAAGTTATTTTTACAGGCAAGTCTTCAGGGACACTTGTTAGAATTAGTCTACAAAGTGATTCACATCTTTTATTTTTAAAAAATTTTTCTTTTTAAAAATTGATTTTAGAGAGAGAGAGAGAAACATTAATCTACTGTCCCCTGCACATCCCCCGTTGGGGGATCAAACCCACAACCTGGGCTTGTGCCCTGACCAGGAATTGAACCCTGTACCTTTTGGTGTACGGAAGATGCTCCATCCAGTGGAGCCACACCAGCCAGGGCTGATTCATATCTTTTAAATTACAACCTGTCAGCATTACATTTAAACTTCCTTCTGAGTAGTTTTATTTTTAAGACTTGAGCAGATAGTTTTTCCATTGATAAAAGATCAGCCATAGTAAGAGAGGGTCTTGGAAGTCACCGGGGAAGACCAAGTCAAACTCTGGAAGCGTGCAGTCCAAGCCACTTGTGAAAACGCGAAACATGCTCTTCCCCTCGTTTCGGAACGAGTGTATGTTCATCTGATTTCTTTAAGTGGGTTAATTATTTATGAAGGACTATTGAGTATACACAGTGGGACAGAAATAGATTTACAGCTGTTTGCATGGAAAGTGATACAATAATTAATAAATAATAATACAAGAATAAGATCTGTTTCGAGTACTCCCAGCTGTAAACCTACTTTTGCCACATCCTGCATGCCCAAAACAACTAGAGAGAGTATTTTTAAAATAGCGACTTCACATACTCAAAAGTAAGATTTTTTTCCTTTTACATTGTGTATACCCATAATTCCTTGTTGACAGTGACCAAATAAACATTGTTCTATCACCTCTGAATAACCGTATTTCCATTCTTTCGTGTGTGACACATTACAACTGCAGCTGAAGTAGTACCTTGCTTGCTATTGTAATGCCTTTCGACTTACAGTTTTTTTAAAGATCTACTGAACTCTGTACTTAATTTTAACCACTAATATCAAGTTAGCTGTGGATTAAAAAAAGAACTCTTCTCTAAATCCCTGCTCTAATTTATATTGCTGATGTCTTTCCATTAGATTCGAATTTCTTGTCTCCAAACACATCATTTCTGCTTTGAATTTATCTTAACTATGAACTGTTTGAGGTCTTATAGTAATTACATTTTGGGTCTTACTGGCTACATCATTTGTCTTGTCAGCAAAATTAAAATAGTATGCCAGCCTGGCTGGCGTGGCTTAGTGATTGAGTGTCGACCTATGAACCAGGAGGTCACGGTTTGATTCCTGGTCAGGGCACATGCCCTGGTTGTGGGCCCGATCCCCAGTAGGGGGCATGCAGGAGGGGCAGCCAATCGATGATTTTCTCATCATTGATGTTTCTGTCTTTTTCTCCCTCTCCCTTCCTCTCTCCAAAATCAATAAAAACATAGTTTTTTGTTTTTTTTTTTAAAAAATAGGATGCTGGGCTAGCATTTAGTTTTGGATTTATTCTCATTGTGGTACAAAAATGATGAGACACATATTTTTCTGCTTTAAATTAGCAGCGATATTTTTTCTTGCACAGTCTTCTTTGTTTGGGCCAAACTCTTTGCTTCTGACTTGCTTTTGTTTCTCCTCCTCAGTAGACTTTGAGTCCTGCATGCCAAGTTTCATGTGTTTTGTTTTGTACCTCAATCGTTAGACTTTCTGTAAATTTCCTTTCATTCCTTTCTGTTCTCATCCTCACAGTGACTTCTGCGTGTGAAAGCCTCCCCTCTCTCTGTAACATTTTAATTGCTGCTTTCTGTATTTGTGCATTTCATTTGTTCATCCTTTCACATTCACTGCTCCATAAAAATTAATAATTGTCATACCTCGGATTGTTCATCACCGAATAGACTGTGGGCTATCCTTTTGTAGATGAACATCACCATTAGGGTGTTTGGGTTAGGCATATATATATTGCATGTGGCATTCTGACAATAAAATGGTTATAACTTTGGGTTTGGGTATCAGGTGACATTTATCTAAAACACATCTGGCCCGGCCGGGCATGGCTCAGCGGTTGAGCATCAACCTAGGATCCAGGCAATCGGGGTTCTATTCCCGGTCAGGGCACATGCCCAAGTTGCAGGCTAAACAGCTGGTCAATGACTCTCCCATCATTGATGTTTCTATCTCACTCTCTCCCTCTCCTTTCCTATGTCTGAAATCAATAAAGATATGTTTAAAAATAAATAAAATAAAGTTTAAAAAACAAACAAAAACACACACATCTGCATGTTCACTTACCCTACACATTTATAGAGTGTTAAATCTCATAAAATCTTTACCTTTCCATCATCAACCCTGTGTTTGTGCTTTTTAGTTAAGCAGTATAATCCCTCTTGAAGGAAAAGCATTGGTAGGGAGCAGCATTAGTCCCAGTACCTCCATGGCAGGACAAATCCTAGTGCATTTTTGCAGCATCACACACAGGTTCATATCGCGGGAATCTCTGGGAGAATTCTTCAAATGACACATTTCTGTCATCCAAGAATGATGAAACTAACCGGATTTTTTTTCCCCATGCCAAGCGCCTAGTCACTTCACTAGCTATTTTCCTTTTTAGAAGTTCTTCATGATAGTTTAATTTGTAAAAATATTTTAAGAATTCATTGAAGTCAATGACTATCTTGGAAATTTAAATTTAGATATGTGATGTTGGTTTAAAAAAAGGGGGTATGGGGTAAGGACTTTCGTAACCAGGGCCTTTGGGAGCTTGGGATAACTTGAAAACAGATGCCTTTCTAGCTCAAAGAATCGTAGTGGAATTCATCATGGTCAGGCTAAATGGTTTTCCCAAGGGATTCAGGGTGTGAATGGCTCTCCCTCTAGCTCCAAAATATATGGCAGAATGCCTTTAGGATGGCTGTGGGAAAGTGGTCAAAATAAAGCACAGAGAAAAAATATTATAAGCTGTTAAAACTTTCCCATGCCATATAAATTGCTATACATTTTATAAAGAATTAATAGAGCCCGGCTGGTGTGGTTCAGTGGTTGACCATCCACTTATGATCTAGGAGATCAAGGTTTGATTCCTGGTGAGAGCACATGCTGGGGTTGTGGGCTTGATCCCCAGCAGGGGGTGTGCAGGAGGTAGCCAATCAGTGACTGTCTCTCATCACTGATGTTTCTATCTCTCTCTCTCTCTCTCTTCCTCTCTCTGGAATCTATCTATCTATGTATCTATCTATGTATCTATGTATCTATCTATCATCTATCTATTATCTATCTATCATCTATCTATCTGTCTATCATCTATCTATCTATCATCTATCTATCTATCTATCTATCTATCTATCTATCTATCTATCTATCATCTATCTGTCATCTATCGTCTATCATCTATCATCTATATGAGTTAATAGAAACACATTTTTGGTGAATCGATTGTTTGACAAATTGATTGTTTCTTGGACCGCTTGTTAGGGCTGCCAGTCACTCTCACATGGACCTATTTGTCTACTGTTTCTGGCTGGACAAAGTGTCTTTGGGATGAGTCCAACTGGTTACAGACCACCAAGGAAACTTCTATTATGCCTCTATAGCCACAGTTTCCCTAGCCAGATGGGAAACTGTGTGTAGTTCAGGGTCTTCTGGGCTTATTCAGAGGCATTTTGTCCTAATTGGATGTTACCCAAAAGCAGTCATAAATCACCCAGGCAAGTCAAAATGTATTCATGGAGAGCCAGGATAAAAATAACCCATCAGTTTTGAATAGTTATTTAGCTGACCCATGGCTTATCTGAGTCCATTGATTTTTTTCTATTTGTCTTAATGTTTACTGGCATGTAGACACAATATTTTTATATTCCAGTGTTGACCAAGGTACAGAATTTAAGAAAATGGCTTCCTAGATAAAAAAAGAAAAACCATTAAGGAAAGCTGGTAAACAAGTTAATTGAGAAGGCAGAACAACAACATACCAGTTTCATGGAGTAGGACAGTGGCCTTTGCCTGCAGGCTGGGTGTCTATTTAGTGCAGGCTGGGTGTCTATCACTCCATGCATGCAGTGATTTTCTATCTGGGGAAGTTCATTTTACTGTNCGGAGTAGGACAGTGGCCTTTGCCTGCAGGCTGGGTGTCTATTTAGTGTTAGCTCACTCCATGCATGCAGTGATTTTCTATCTGGGGAAGTTCATTTTACTGTCAAGACTCTCCCCTCTTAGTCTCTATCAACTGCTATCATTTGATATTTTTATTGATGCTCATTCTGTTGAACAGAGTCACTGCACAATAGTTTGCCTGATGTTAAATACTGTTGTGCCCAACTAATACCCTAGTGGAGCTGAGAAATACACGCTGTGAATGAGTGATCTAAATGTGTCCCAGCAAACCAGGCTACTTAGCATCATTCTTATGTTAGTCCTTTGATTGAACTACAAAGTATGAGGTGCCTGTATAGGTTAGATACAGTTTGGATTTTTCCCCTGGATATTTCATTAATTGGGATCAGCAGATATAAGGGCTGATAATAAAATACTTTATTCTGATTTACTCATAAAGGGGGTGGATGAGTAAGACGACTATCTCAGAATATCTTTTCACTGGGGGCTTTGAAAGCATTTACTATAGGTGAGTCACTAGTCCTCACCAGCCATCTAAGGCATACTATAGGCACTGTTATTCCAAGAGAGAAGTACTGAGACATGGAATCAATATGATACCAATTAACTAATTGTTAATAACAGGAAAGGAGCAAAGGGAAGGCCAGACATTATAGACATGTTCCCTGTAAAACACTAGGGAGGGGGACCACATGGGGAAGATACTTGCCTGTCAGTCATACCTGGTAAGTAAAGTGGTGCCCTCAGGCAGAAGTTGGCAACCCCAGTATTGTAAAATAAGTTCAGACTTTCCAGAAAAGAAATGTGCTATAGATGAAAGGCGAGATGTCCCTTGTGTCATGGGGCACATGTAGAGCAGAGGTGGTGGCCTTGCCCCTTCCATGGTTCTGGCAGTTTTTAAATGTCACAACTTCTTAGCTAATTCAATAAGCCTTGGACTTTAGAAAGTCAATGTTTTTTTTTGTTTGTTTGTTTTTGTTTTCTCTCTCATTTTCTTGTAGTACAGGAAAGCAATATTCTAGATATTAGGAAAAAAACCACGGTTATATTTACTATGTTGGTTGATGTTTGGGCTAACTATTCTAATTGAAATATTTTTTTATTTAATATGTTTTTATTGATTTCAGAGAGAGGAAGGGAGAGGGAGAGAGAGAAACATCAATGATGAGGGAGTCATTGATTGGCTGCCTCCTGCACACCCCCTGCTGAGGATCAAGCCCACAATCTGGGTATGTGCCCTGACCAGGAATTAAACCATGACCTCCTGGTTCCTAGGTTGACACTCAACCACTTAGCCACACTGGCCAGGCTAATTGAAATATTCTTGACACAACAAACTCTGAACCTCTCTTTCTCACTCTGTATTCACTGGTTCTTCCTCCCTTTCATCCACCCATCTATCCAATTTTAAACATTTTAATAGGAAATACATATAAAGGACACAAAATAGAAAAGGTACAAAAGAGCTGTGGGGAAAAGTAACTCTGTCTCTTACCTTTTTCTTCAGTCCTTCTTACCTAACGTACACTTCCATTTTGAGGACCCGTTTTTTTTGTGTGTGTGTTTGTTTGTTTTTTATATCTTTATTGATTTCAGAGAGAGGAAAGGAGAGGGAGAGAGAGAGAGAAACATCAATGATGAGAGAGTCATTGATCGGCTGCAGCCCACAACCCAAGCATGTGCCCTGACAGGGAATTGAACCCCGGTAGCCTGGATCCTAGGTCGATGCTCAACCGCTGAGCCACGCCCGGCTGGTCTTGAAGACCCATTTTTGATTTCCCCCTTACTCTGGATCCCACCATACAAAGCCAGAGTTATGCTGGCAAAATCACACAGTTAAACTGTAACCGAACCCAGGTTTGGCTGCCTGTAGCAACAAAAGCCAAACTTGTGAGACAGGTGCTGGTAGAAAGGAAAGAGGTTTATTTGAGTGCCAGCATGTTGAAAAGATGGGAGATCCTTATCCTCAAAAGCCCATCTTAATATCTCAGTGCAGGTAGAGGTTTTTAAATATGTTTTGTTTTTTTGAGTTCAGAGAGAGGGAGAGAGAGTTAGAAACATCAGTGATGAGAAAAAGTCATTGAACGGCTGCCTCCTGCATGCCACCTGTTGGGGATCGAGCCCAAACCTAGGCATGTGCCTTGACCAGGAATTCAACCTTGATCTCCTGGATTATAGGTTGATGCTCAGCCACTGGGCCACATCGGCTGGGCCAGAGGTTTTTATAAGGATGGAGAGGGAAAGCAGAACAAAGAGATCAAGGGGAGGGGCTGTGGACTTGCCATCACTTCCAGGAGTAAAGGGTGGGGGAGCTGAAGGAGAGTACAAATATGTCACTTCTCAAGCTTCCTCCCCTCGTCTCAGCACTATTTCTCTTCTCATAGGAATTTGTAGATTTACAACGGAAACTCGCAAGTCTTCAGGGTTGGTGCCAAGTAGCTCTTCTCCCCCAGGAGAGGCTGCTCTAAGCTGTAAAAAAAGCTAGATAAGAAGCGAAAATATAGGCACAGCCAGTGTTGCACAGTGGTTGAGCATTGACCCAGGCACCAAGAGGTCATTTCCTGGTCAGGACACATGCCCAGGTTTTGGGCTCAATCCTTAGTAGGGGGCAGGCAGGAGGCAGCCGATCAATGTTAATGTTTCTGTCTCATCGATGTTTCTACCTCTCTCTCTTCCTCTCCCTTCACCTCTCTCTAAAACCAATAAAAAACATTTAAGATGAAAAAGGAAGTGAAAACATAGGATTTTGTTTACATACTCTAAGAAAACAGAGAGTTGGCTATAGCCTTGAGAGAATGCAGAATATATAACCTTTATTGCTTAACTGAAATGTTAAATTATGGGTACAAAATCACTGGGCAAAAGACCCCCACCAGCATATTCAACACAATTCTATGATATCAGGTTTCTGGATAGAGTTTTCAGGGATCTTAGAACTTGTATATGTCTAAAAATTTTAAAGTTATACCAGAAATCAATGGGCAATACCCAACACTGTTGATTTATGACTGCTGATTTAAAAAAAAAAAAAAATCTTTATTGATTTCAGAGAGAGGAAAGGAGAGGGAGTGAGATAGAAACATCAATGACGAGAGAGTCACTGACTGGCCGCCTCCTGCATGCCCCCAACTGGGGATCGAGCCCGCAACCCGGTCATGTGCCCTGACCAGGAATCGAACCCCGATCGCCTGGATCTTAGGTCGACGCTCAATCACTGAGCCACGCCCGGCCGGGCACTCCTGATTTTTTTAAAATTGTAAATTAAAAATATACTATAACTAATACACCTTTGTTTTAAAAAATATATAGTACAATAGGATATGAAATAAAAAGCCAGTTCATCCTTATTCCAGACTCCAGTTCTACTCTCCTCTCCCAGAAAGCCACCATCACAGTTTCTTGTATTTTCTTCCTAAAACCTTCCATATAGTGTACACATACATTCACATTATCCTTAAAAAAAAAAAAAAAAAAAAAGTAACTGGAAAGATATTTAGAAAATTCTTGTTATTTGAGGAAAACTGGACTTGGAAAAGTTCACATAAAGTGAATCCACTTAAAGTTAGCAAACGTATTTCATAGTAAATATTGATTGAATTCCTGCTTCATGCCATCTGTTTTCTTAGAGAAGATGTATAATCCAGAATTTTAATATTTTTATTGCCAGAGTTCTAATGCCAACTCTGCATTGATTATGGCTTAATGGAAGGTCACAATAGTAGTTACAGTAGTAGGTTAATCTTTGGCAAAACTCAAGATACACAGCCTCGTTTTTTGGTGGTAAATACACATAACATAAAACTCACTATTTTTACCATTTAAAAAAAATTTTTATTTATTGAGTTGAGAGAGAGAGAGAGAAGAAGAGAGAAACATCGATTTGTTCTTCTACTCATTTATGCATTCCTTGGTTGATTCCAGTATGTGCCCTGACCAGAGATCCAAACGGCAACCTTGGCATATGGGGACAATGCTCTAACCAACTGAGCTACCCTGTCAGGGCCTATTTAAACCATTTTGGAGTATAAAATTTAGTGGCATTAAGTATATTCACAATGTTGTTCACCCATCATTACTATCTAGTTCCAGAACTCCTTCATCACCCTGAAAGGAAACCCATTACCTATTAGCAATCACTTCCTATTCCCCTCTCTTCCAGCTCCTGGTAACCACTATTCTGCTTTCTATCTATCTGGATTTCTCTATTCTGGATATTTCATATAAGTGGAATCATGCATATGTGGCTTTTTGTGTCAGGCTTTTTAAATTTAGCATAATGTTTTCAGGGTTTATCCACATCGTAGCACTTCATCCTTTTTTTTGGTTAAATAATATTCCATTGTATGGATATACCACATTTTATTTATCTGTTCACTACCTGATGGATGTTTGGGTTATTTCCACCGTTTGGCTTTTGTGAATGAACATTCATGTATACGTTTTTCTTTGAACATCTGTTTTCAGTTCTTTTGGGTATATACCTAGGAATGGAATTGCTGGGTCCATACTGTAATTCTGGGTTTAACTTTTTGAGGAAATATCCAATTCTTTGAATCTCTGAGATGCTGGTCCCTTTGCTCTGTATTGTAATATAGATCTTCCAAATCAGGGAAGATTAATTAATATTTGGATTAATTCATTAATATCTGGTTATTAGTCAAGTTTAACATTCTAATAATTAACAATATAATAGTAGGTCAAGTGTTACCACTTATTAAGCTTTAAACATAGAAAACTATATAATACTGATTTTATATTATATGTCTGCTCTTAATTAATGTAGTCAATGCACTGGGCTGTCAGAGGAAAAAAAGATCTAATGCTGGAAGAAACTGACCAGACTCATACCAACAAGGTTGAAAATGAGGAATGGAACAAGCAAAGAGAAAGAAAGAAAGAGGAGCTGGGTTCAACCACAGAGAAAATGGAGCAAAAAGAATCTGAGTCCCTGGAGAAGTCATCCTCCCCACCGAATCCAGACTCTTCAAGTAAGTCATGTCATGTAGCTTTGCAGACAGAGCAGGTCTGAGTCTTGCCTAATTTAAGGATGGGTTTGGCACCTTAAAAGATACTTAGCGAGCTGGCATGGCTCAGCGGTTGAGCATCAGTTTATGATCCAGGAGATCACGGTTCGATTCCCAGTCAACACATACCTGGGTTTCAGGCTTGATCCCCAGCAGGGGGTGCGCAGGAGCCAGCTGATCAATGATCCTCATCATTGATGTTTCTCTCTCTCTCCCTCTCCCTTCCTTTCTCTCTGAAGTCAATAAAAATATATTTAAAAAAAAAGATACTTACTTAGCATTGACACAAAAACTAGAAGATACACTCTTTAATGCATTTCTGGCAGAGGAAGCTGAAATATTTCTGGGAGTGCCTTCCTCTCCACTGAAATAATGCTAGCAAACATTTAGGTGTTTAATATGTGTAGGAATATTTTCCCAGAAATTGTGTTACATCTATTATCTCATTTAATATTAATTTTACATATATTAATTTATTTAATCCTCCCCACAAGCTTGTGAGGTTGGTATCAACATTATCCTCATTTTACAGATGAGAAAAGTGAAGGCCAGGGAGGCTGAGTAATTTTCTCAAGGCCATACAGCTTGTATGCGGTAGGGCAGGGGTCTGAACTAAGGCAGTTTGGCTTCAGTCTGTTTCTAAGGCACTGTACTATCTTAAGATACCTTATCTATAAGTAGCTCCGTAGACATTCTGAATCATTTATAGATCCACTGAAGCAGGGTGTTAGGAGGTTGAACTCCTGGCTCCCAAGCTATACATCCTGACTCGACTACTACTTATCTGTATTACTTGGTAAAAGTTTCTTACCTTTTCTAGACCTCAGTTTCCTCATCTGCAAAGTAGAGATCATAATGGTACCTTTCCATAGACTTATCATAAGGATTAAGTGAGGAGATCCATGCAAAGTGCTTAGCTCAGTGATTTGCCTATAGCAGGCCCTGGGTATATTTGAGCTATTATTATCACTTTTTTGTTTGTGTAGCCATACACTGTTCTTATATTAACAGGTGTGTTATGTACATACATTGTAACTGTCCTTCCAAGTCTTACTTGGTTTTCAGGGTTGTAATGCAACACTTCATTCGATTTTTGCCTTTAAACAAAACATCCTGAACATCCTAAAACACTTATTTAATAAAAGAAGATAATTTGTGGTGAATTACAGTCTTTCTAGAAATAGTCACTGCAGATCTCTCTTTGGGGAGAACTTTTAAGTGCTCACTACTTGCTGGGAATAAAGATTCTTAGAGTTTGATTCAGGTGTCTCTGCTGGTTACAGAAATGATCCTTTTGTAGTCTGTACATTGACTGCATCAGCCTCGTAACTGGAAATGGTTATAGAAAACTGATCAAAGCAGAAGCACAAATGTCAGAAAAACAGTGTTTTAAGCAAACACACACATGCAAACACCCACTCACATGCACACAAAGGCAAACATGGAAACATTTCTCGATTCAGCCTTGGAATGTTCCAGTTTGTCTCTCCTTCACCTCTGGGGCCCCCCGTGACTTTCTGTTTTGGATTCAGACTTAATCTGAGTACACCAGAACTGGGGGAGTTGGACATGTCAGAGACTCAGGCATGATGCTGAGGCCCCACTTGAATCCCTCTCGTAAGAGTCTCTGAAAATTTATTTCTTTAAAAAAGTTTAGATATGTTAAATATCACCAAATAATGAACTTATCATTAAAAAATTCAAAGAATTATATATAAACAATAACTTAGTATCTACCCCAGTCTCCTACCCTTCTCTGCTTCTACTTCGTGAAATAACCAATGCAGATGCCAATGTGTGTCCTCTCCTTCCACACTGTTCCATATGCTAATACAAGTATATATTAAGAACAGTGTATGTTCACTTATGAGGGCTTTAAAACTACAGAACAACTATATACCAAGCACATTCTTCTATGTTACACAGTAGCTAAGAGCACAGTTGCTGGAACCAGATCCCAGCTTTTTCACCAATGAATTGTGCGACCATGGGTAAGTGATTGTGGACAAAAAGGGTCTCTATGGAAAGTAACCTCACAGGGTGATCTGATCAAAAGTTCCTAACTGGGCATGTCATGGTGGTTAGTCCTGCCCCAGGCATGTAACTTCTTTTTTTTTTTTTTTTTTTTAAAATATATCTGTATTGATTTCAGAGAGAGGAAAGGAGAGGGAGAGAGAGACAGAAACATCCATGATGAGAGAGTCACTGATCAAGCCTGCAACGCAGGCATGTGCCCTGACTGGTAATCGAACACCGATCGCCTGGATCCTGGGTTGACACTCAACTGCTGAGGCACGCCCGGCTGGGCAGGCATTTAACTTCTTTAGTAAAACGCTTATCTTTGCCTTAATCAAGCCTTGTCCATTGCTTTTGGGCCTCCAGGTTAACACACCTTTGAAATGCCTCTTTTCAGAGCCCTTCCAAACCTAAACCACCCTCAACATAGCACATGTTCTTAACCTGTAACACACTCCCCACCTTCAGCAATCTTCCTTACATTCCCTCCTTAATCTCAAATGAGTAAAAGAAACTACAAAATGTTATTCTGGGAAGCATTTTTCTGTCTGCTGAGATCTTGCTTCCAGGCATATCCTCTGTTTAACTCAAATAATAAATTTTTATAAAAATTCTCTGCGGGTTTTGATGTTCTTATGTTAACAAGAGTTAACCTCTCTGAGTCTTCTTATCCATATATAATGGTTAAAATATTAGTTTCTACTTCGAAAGGTTAAGTCTTTGGTGTGAATTATTAATATCTTACAGTAACTAATTAAACAGTCTTTTTGAGGAGTAAATAGCTTAACGTAATTAAAATGTTTGGATCAAGCACATCTTTTTTTTTACTGCCAGAATTTATTATTATGGGACTTTGCCTTAGACCCTTACATTTAGAATTAACTCATTGTTTTTAACAGCTGATAAATATTCCACAGCGCAGACATATCTTAATTTACCCAGGATAAACTATGCCTGTTTGATGCCCTCCCATTGTGAAATGTATTCTCTTACTATGGTTGAGGAATGAAGCCGAGGGGGTTAGAGGAGGGAAGATCATTGTTCTGAGAAGCTGTTTGTTGGCGAAAAAGAATTATGAAGTTTTGCCCAAGGCTACATTTACAGGGCTTTCTTAATGTTGTTTAAGAGATTATTGGCTATTCTGAGTAGTGCCTTAAAGTTGGAGTTTGATATACCAAAGTGCAGTTGCATGATTATTTACAATTTAATTTGACTGTAGTGTAAATTTTTATCATGTCAGCATTTAAGAAATATTATTCATGTCAACTTTACCAAGCCCCGAGAGGCCGCTCACATAACTTTTCAGCATATTAATGTTTGTTAATTTCCTCAAGCAGTGCTTAATATTTACTTTGGAGTTTGCCTTTTGATGCCTCTTCTGTGCTGAACGCCATCAATTAGTCCCCATTGTCTTTTGACTTCATTGCAGCCAGTAAAATACGGATCATGGCATCTGAATACTGGCGTGCAAGACAATCTTACTTTTACTCTTTTCGTTTAAATATGCAATGACTATGGCTTCTGATAAATACAGTTTTAGAATCAAAATAGTTTTCTGTAACATCCTGGAATAAAAACAAACAAAAAATCAGATGTAGCAGATGCTGTTGCTGTGCAGTCATGTCCTCAGGGCATCTGCCTTCCCAGGCTTTGCCAAGCCTGTGGCTTCTGACAGATGAGGCTGCCTGGCAGCGGATGAGAAGTGAGAAGAAAATGCAACTTGTAACCTTACCACCCAGAGAACTTATCTACTGCTGATCTTTCTGTGTATTTTTATATGTTAGTATACCTAAAACTCAAAGGACCATACTGTATATATTTTGTGTATGCGTTTCAATTACAGATTGTCAGGAAGAATTTTCTTCTTGCTTTTTCTCCAAATGGAAATTCTTTAGATTTGTATTCTCTGATAATTCTAAAGAAAGTGCAAGCAGATTCTGTTTTTCTGACACAACCATTATCAATAATTCTGTGTATATTTTTCCTGACTCGATATTTAGATAATATTTTAAACATCAGTGGAAGCATATTTTATTATTCTGTAACCTACTTTTTCATAAGCAATATTATAAGCACAAAAAATGACAAAAGACATACTTATCTGTTGCAGAAAAATTAGAAAATACAGAATAACAAAAAAAGAGTATAAAAAATGAAAATCACACCTATTTTGACTATCCAGGGATAACTACCATTAACATTCAGGGGTAATTCCTTGTAGACTTTGAAAAAAAAATTTTTTTTTTAAGTATGTCTTTATTGATTTCAGAGAGAGGAAGGAAGAGGGAGAGAGAGGGAGAGAAACATCAATGATGAGAGAGTCATTGATCGGCTGCCTCCTGTGCACCCCCTACTGGGGATGGAGCCCACAACCAGGGCATGTGCCCTGAGCAGGAATCGAACCGTGATATCCTGGATTCTAGGCCAGTGCTCAACTGCTGAGCCACGCTGGCTGGGCTGAAAATTTTTTACGTAATATTCATGTGAACAAGAAATTTAAAAATGAAATCACACTGTCTAAATGGTTTTCTAACTACCTGTCACTTAGCAATATGTTCTGAGCATTTTTCTGTGACTGACTGTAAGTATTAAGAAATTGTTAATGACCATATCAAAGCCTTTTTACTCAGCCTTTCTGTTGCTGGAGATTTAGAATGTTTTTTGATTTTTAAAAACATTTATAAAAGGCATCATGATAAACATCCCATAGTTAAAACCCTTTAGCACATCCATGATCATTTCCTTAAGATAAATTTCTAGAAGTAGAATTATTGGGTTAAAGATTTATGCATTTTAATGAGTTCAATAAATATTGCAGGTTTCCTACCAAGAATAGTTTTGCCAATTTACACTCTCTCTAGCAGAGAAGGAAAAATGACCTTTTATCTGATTTTCAACAAAGTTATTTATTAGTCTAAAAAAACAAATCTTGCTATCATGCAATAAATTATTTGTGTTTCCAGAGATCCTTTACCATTGACCTTTTATTTTTGGCAGCTGTTTGAAAGTTGTTTCTAATTTCTTTGCAGGTGAATTGTCAAAATTCTCACCACTGGAAGCACTATAAATATCTTTTTATTATTAAGTTTAAGCCTATGAGATCCTCTCATCCATATAAACTAAGTCCTGTTCATAAGAATTCAAAACTCTGCTTAAGTTAATCAGCTTCTGTAAAATATTAATAATTCATACCATAGACTTACCCTTACATTTCTCTTATTGCAGTGAAATCTCATCAGCAAGCTGTTCTACTATTACATGCTTGACTTCTTTGTTCCTTCCTCTGATCTGAAAATCTTCTCTTCTCTCCTTTAAAGGTTTTTCGGATGTGAACAGTTGGCACCTTCGTTTCCGCTGGTCCGGGAATGCCCCTTCAGAACTCCTGAGAAAATTCAGAAACTACAAAATATGAAATGCCCTGCTCCATAGGAGAGAGAGCGAGTGAGCAAGACCAGCCACTGTGCTGCCAACACGCATGCAGTCTTTGTTCAAATCTTTAAAATGTCATGTTTCTATGTCACGTTTGTGAATTGCTGAGTACTGATTGATCCCTCCACCCTTGAACCCGTTATCACAATGTGTTTTTTAAATGAGAAAAATTTCAGAAGACAAGTGTCTTTTAATATTTGAATAAATTAAGGCTCTTAGATCCAGAGTAGATTGTATTATGTATGTTTTCCTGTTAATGTTGTTTATAGAAACCCACTTTTTAATCGATCTCTGTATTTAAATATTTCATTGATATATGATGATCTCTATTAGTACTGGATGTACAAGAAATGTTTTCTGACTCTGGACTTAAAATGAAATGTGAAATGACTTGTCTAGACCCCATAGAATGAAATAAATAATTTCCCCAAAGTTCGAAATGAATGTATAATTCAACTGTATTTGGAAAATAATTTGAATAGGCATTTCTACTTTCATTTTAATAATCTTAAATTTAAAAGGTTATTATTTATTTGAGGAAATATGTTCCTACCAGATTTCTTTTGTTAGTTAGCAAGTGATCAGAAATTTATTTTCTTATAGTCTGAAGGCTAGAAGTCCAAAATCAAGGTGTTTACAGGTTTGGTTTCTTCTGTGGCCTCTCTCCTTGGTTTTCAGACGACTGCTTTCTCACCAGGGCCTCATGTGGCCTTTTTGTGTGCATGTACATCCCTGGTGTTTCTACTTCTTCTAGTAAGGACATCAGCCATATTGGATAAGGGCCCCACCCTGTCAGCTTCACTTCTTTAAAGACCTTATCTTTAAATAAGGTTACATTCCTTGGTACTGGGAGTTGGAACTTCAATATGTGAATTTTAGCCCTGGCTGGGTAGCTCAGCTGGTTGGAGCGTCATCCTCGTACACCAGGGCTGTGGGTTCAGTCTGTCTCTCATCGGGGAACATGCAGGAATCAACCAATGAATGCATAAGTGGGTGGAACAGCAAATAGATGTTTATCTCTTTCCCTCCTTCCTTCTCTCAAATCAACAAATTAAAAAATTACTTTAATATATGAATTTTTGGGGAACACAATTTCATAATATAGGTAAAAACTTTTTTTTTTTTACAAAAAACAAATACAATCCTGTATTGGTTCCCTTAATTTTATTTGAATTTTTATTGTTTTGTCAAATCTGTATAGAGAATTATTTCTATCAATATTTTACCACTTCAGTAAAATGTGATTTGGCATTGTTACCATACCTGCAAATTTTACTTTAAAAATAGAGAATAAATGCAAAAAATATATAGCATGTTAAATTAACAAAATGAGATTTTGGACTGCAATTGCCTGTCATAATGCCTGCCTGACCCAAGTAGGCACTCAAAAAAAAAAAAAAAAAAAAAAAAAAAAAAAAAAAAAAAAAAAAAAAAAAAAAAAATACTAGCTTGAATAAATGAATTTTTAAATCTAAGAATCGGAGTTTTAATTTTTTTTCTTTTTTTCCCCTCCCCAGATTGATTTACAGCACTGACGACTTTTAATGATTGTCAATGGGATAAACACTGCCACCTGTGGCGCACTCTGCTTTTGTTACAGATGGATTTCCCAGTTGTCGACACGACTGAAGGCCTGCTCTCATTTACTTTTCTCTCATGTGAGGCCTGAAGCCTCCAAATAAGAAACGAAAAAGAGCTCCACGAATGGGGATTTCTGATGGTCCAGGCTTGTGCCAAGCACTTTATGTACTTGATCCCATGTAACTTAGTAGGAGACCTTTTATCCTTAAACACTAAATGTGCTCCTGAACTCAAAGTTTAAAAGGGAGGGTACTGTGCTTTGATAATACAGTTTTTCTCTGAATGAAAAATAAAGGGGAAAAGTAGACAACTTTTCTTCAATAATTTGTTTGAATCCCCAGTGTGTTTAGCACAATCACAGTTGTACGTATGAGTAATAGCACATTTTCAAAGCCATTTATTTTTTATTTTGGCTCAGCTTCATAGCAGAACAAATCGATTATGAGAAGATAATTTTATTAAGCTCTTCAGTCAGCTCTAAATGCTAACAATAATTAGTTTATCTCATATTTGATACTGAACATATAAATGAATGTGGTACATATTTCTTGAGAGCATTATTATGTGAAAAATATTGTACTGTTGTTTGTGTAGGCTAAAAAATGCCTCTTAAGTCATGTTGATGCTCTCAAGTAGTTGATAATTTAGTGAAATAATCCAGGTATCTGAGTTTCGTATAGTTTAAAAGGAGCATGTGGAATTAATATAAGTATGTAGTATGCTTAGAACATGCCTAGCACATAGTAAGCACTATGTGTACTCATCACTATTCTTATTATATAATTATGTGTTAAGTCTTGTGATAACCAATTAACAGAATTATGGCCTCCTTCCCTCTGCAATCCCTTTCCCCCCAATTCTGTCTCCGAGGCTCTGTTTCTTGTATATCTTTCCAGAGATGTCCTGTGCATGACACACATAGATGTGTTCCTGCTCTTTTTTTATGCAAATGGTTACATACTATTCAAACTGCTGCACACCTTCCATTTATCCAGTGAATCCTGGAGATTTTCCCATTTTTGGTACATGAGTGCTACTTTATTCTTTTTATCTGCTTGGTGGCTTTCCATTGTGTGGATGAACCATAATTTAACTTGTTCTCTATTGATGCTTTTCAAGGTTACTATTAATTTTTTTGTGATTCCAAGTAATACTGTAATGAATAGCTTTATACATAGTATTTCTTGTATGTGAAGTATACCTGTAGGATAAATACCTAGTACTGGAGTGGATCAGACAGTGTACACACACACACACACACACACACACATTTAGAATTTGATCATCATGTTCTTAAACAAATAGCAGATTCAATTTTGCTAGTTTCAGAGATCTTAAGGCCACTGGATTGGAAAACCCAGAAAATAGTGCTTGTTCATTGGGATATGTGCCTTTAGGTTTTTTTTCACTCTAGGCTAGACTTTGTTGAGTGGCTCAGTTTGACATTGTGCTTATGGAACAATTTCCCCAGTACCTCCACTAACCCCCGATACCAGGGAGTGCTCAAGATATAAAGCAATAATAAAACCAGAGTACACTTTTCTTCTGGTACCTTCCACAGAGACAGGAAGAGACCAGGGTGTTTTTTCAGTGTTATGGCTTCTCGCCTTCTGGGTGTCCTGAAATGTTGAAATACAATTCTGAAACAGTTTTGCTCTTTTAAGTTACAGGGAAACTCAACAGAGCAACTCTGGAAATCCTAGGCAGAATTAATAATTTTCTAGGATCCCAAATAGTTTCCAGTCCTCAGTGGATATTTCCCAGCCTGCCAAAGATATGCCCTTTAACGAACAAATTAGAAATACAAAAACGACTTTGCAGATATTTCTTGTAAAGAGAGAGCTGGATAAGGCAAAGATAAGATTGTTTTCCTGCTTATGAATTTTCATATCCTTTCTGTGCCCAGATCTGATGGTGGTTCCAAGATCAATCACAGCAGCAAGTGTCGATGACTAATGCAGTTATTGAAAGGGTCTTTAATTTCCTGGAGGGCAAACACCATTACCCACCATCTCCATATCATAGACGGAGAGATGCCAGAACTACCGGGGAGTCAGTGATGGAAGAAATTATAAAACTGATGCAATTACTGAGAAAATGATGAAATGTCTCGCGATGAAAGGCTTCAATTCCCTTCAATTTCAGGTTTTGTGATATGCATCAGTGTAGCTGTGTCTTGCAGTGTGATTACTCTTCGGCTTTCTGTGTCATCTCGCCCTCACTGTGGGAGCATATTCTGCATCAGGCTGCACATACTCATCTCTTCCTCTCCTACCCAGGCTGTTTCATTTCCTCCAGAGTTTTTGCCTTGCTGATTTCTTATATTTATTAGCTGCCAAGAGTGAATGTTTCCATAGCGGAGTCTAGGTTCAGTTTGTGGAGAACTAGATCTTGTTTGGCTCTAACCTACTATGGGATTTAGGGAAAATCCAGTTTCTTCTATCTGTGGCTGGAAGTGAGAATCATCCAGCGTGGCTGCAGCTCATAGACTGCAGAAGGAGAAGTGAAGGATTAGTGAGGCAGGGAACGCAGAGAAAGGATGTGTGTTTATCATTTTTGCACATAACTCTTCCTCTCTTACTGTTCTTTTTTTGGGGAAGGCAGAGATAGAAAGGGAGAGATTACAGTTAAGCAGCTATATCTATATACACCAGCTCCAAGCACCTCAATTATCTTTTTACATTCATCTGAGTGTGATGCCATTCTTGATAGCATCCCACCTCTGAAGATAACGGGGATTTGTCCTCAGAGTAAAGTATATTAAATATAAATAAACCATATTAAATACTTTCCAGCTTGTCAGACCATTAGGGGAGGCTCTAAAACAGGGTTTAAGAATAATGATGATAAAAACTCCTGCCGTTAACAGTATTCAAAGCATTTTCTCACAAATCTTATTTGAACTTCCCAATTAACCTCATTTGGTTGAGGAATTTGTGGCTTTTGTTACATTCTAAAAACGATAAAATGAAAAACATTATTTACAAAACATCATTGGGGTTCTCAACCTTGAAATCACCTGGGGAAGATGAAAACCCTGATGCCTGGGCCCCACCCCAGAGGTTCCGATTTATTGGGTCCGGGAGCCCCTTCCGCTGGGATTTGACAGCTGCAGGGTAATTGTAACGTGCTTCTCAGGGCAGGACCGCGGTGGCTTAAACAAATACAGGTTGTAGGTGACATGGTTAACGTCTTGATGGCTCTACCCACGTACAGGCTTCCGTACCACCAGTTATTTCTGGGGGCCCCCACGACCCCAGGGGCACTCCATTTGGGCTTCCAAACAGGTCTAGGAACCGCAGCCGCGTCTGCCTGGGCTGCGCTCCCCGAGGTCGTCGCGGGGAGACCGCTTGGAGCGCCCCCTGCAGGACGCTGAGCCCCTGCGGCCAGAAGAAAGGCCTCGCCTGGGGCCTGCAGCTTCTCCTCTCACCAGGCTGGCTTTGAATAGGTTCCCAGCGGCTGGGGCTCTCCCTTGTTTTTTTTTCCCCTTGAGTCCGCCTGCCAGCGCGCACTGGCCAGAAGAAATTCCCAGCAGGAGTTTGCAGCATAGAAAAAATATATATAGTTTAATATTGAATTGGCCGATACAGTATGTAGTTTCAGCTTATATAGGGCAAAAATAAGAAGACAAGTGGGTTGGGGGTCCAGGGTGGGTTAGGGGTGCAGAGTTGTGCTGGGAGCTGACTGGTCCCAGGTGAGGTAAGGGTAATAAATCATTTCATTAGGTCTTGAGGACAGCTCTGAGGTCTGGTTTCATGGGAAAGTAGCAAGGGAGTATGTCCACCTTGGGGCTCACGAACTGAGACGTGTTATCTTTAGCATGCCAGAGGTCCAACTTGTGACCATTAGTCAGGTCCTT